ACCATGTTGACCAGGATGGTCTCGATCTCTTGACCTCGTGATCCACCCGCCTCAGCCTCCCAAAGTGCTGGGATTACAGGCTTGAGCCATCGCGCCCGGCAGAAATTTGTTCTTTTATTGGTTTTTGTTCTCTACATTTAAAATATTTCTGAAGACATGAATTGAAAAATATTTTATTGCTGGTGATAAAATCTTCAACAAGTTCATTTTCATGAGCACAGCATTGACTGGCAAAAAGATATGGATATCTGCATAATTAAGGTCAAATTTCTGACAGGCAAAACTGCAGGAATAGTCAGGCTTCTGCACACTCTGAATGCACTTGTTAATCTGCATCCTTGGCTGGGCACAGTGGCTCACGCCTGTAATCCCAGGACTTTGGGAGGCCGAGGTGGGCGGACCACGAGGTCAAGAGATTTAGACCATCCTGGCTAACATGGTGAAACACCGTCTCTACTAAAAATACAAAAATAGCCAGGTGTGGTGGCATGCACCTGTAGTACTAGCTACTCGGGAGGCTGAAGCAGGAGAATTGCTTGAACCCAGGAGATGGAGGTTGCAGTGAGCAGAGATTGCACCACTGCACTCCAGCCTGGGTGACAGAGCAAGACTCTGTCTCAAAACCAAACCAAACCAACGAACCAAACAAACAACAACAACAAAACTAATACATTGAAGTAATCAGAAGTAGATACTTTATCACCATTTTACATAACAACAAAACTATCTCAAATTTTCTTGTGAAATAAATAGGATGGCCTGTGTAGCTTGGGACATGGTAGGTGCCCAATCAATGAGAGATTCAGAGATGGCCTAGCCATACAAGATGTGTAAATCTAGATTAAATATTTATTTTTAAAAATAAGACTCACACATATATGTAATCTCAGCACTTTGTGAGGCCAAGGTGGGAAGATCACTTGAGCATAGGAGTTTGAGACCAGCCTGAGCAACATGGTGAAACTCTGTCTCTACAAAAAATACAAAAATTAGCCAGGCGTGGTGGCACACACATGTGGTCCCACCTGCTCAGGAGGCTGAGGCAGGAGGATCACTTGAGCCCAGTGAGTTGTGATCATGCCACTGCACTCAAAACCGGGTGACAGAGGGACACTCTCCTAAATAAATTAAAAAAGCTATAAAGAACATCCTTGGGACAATTCCAGACTTTTGGATTCAAGCTGGATATAAGATAGGGCATTACTGTTGATTTTCTTAGGTGTGATAATGACATTGGGGTTATGAAGGAGAATATCCTTGTTCTTAAATGATGCTTGAGGAAATATTTAGGGGAAAAAGTGTCATGGGTATCTGTGACTTACTTTCAATGGTTCACAAATAAAAATAGATAAAGAAGACTGTTACTAATAGCTAGATAAAGGTGGTAGGTTTATGAGTGCTCATTATCCTGTTCTCCCAACTTTTAAGGATGTTTAAAATTTTTCAAAATAAAAGCTTGGAGAAAAAAATTGTAGTTCTCTTTTACTCTCCCCTATTTAAAAAATAAATTATGATTATGTAATTTCCCAAAGAGAATCTATTCCCAAAATGTGAATTAGAAATTGGGGACCATACAAATTGAAGGAAGATTCAGAAAAGGTTTTGTTGTTTTTCTTTTAAATCTAAGTTACATCACTCGTGGGTAAACTTAGGTCTGAGGCAACACTGTTCATGAACTTTGTCACAACAAATACTGAATGTTTATTTTCCTGAACTCCGTTTAACCTTGTACATTCACCTTCGTGTTGGCGAAGAGTTGTATTTCATAGTTCCTAGCAAGGCAGTGCCACCTAGTCCACATAAGTGTTCACATTATGGTACACCTGGGGGCGCTGGGGGCAGTGAAGCCAAGACAGTTAGAAGATGCAATTTCACTTGATGAGTTTACAATTTAATTGGAAGCCAAAACATGATGAAGCCGAAGGACACATTCAGAACAATTTGGAAACTACAAGTTAAAATAGCACGGTTCCTTGGGAGGCAGAGGTTTCAATGAGCCAAGATTGGCCACTGTACTCTAGCCTGGGTGACAGAGTGTGACTACATTTCTAAATAAATAAATATAAAATAAAATAAAATAGCACAGTTCCAAAAGTGGTGATAAGGAGGAATTTGTCACTAACATTGGTGTGGGAAAAAAGCTGTGGTGATAATCCAGATGTTAACAATGACCAGATGTCTGCTATAGACTTCACACCTCTGCAGAGATTACATTTTTCTTCAAGTCCAACCAGATTCAGGGTGCCACCACTGGAATTTTCTGTTGCTAGCCACATTTCCAATTTAGGGATTCCTTCCCTGAAGTTGAAGCCCGGGAATGGCATTGTGTATCTAACCATGGATTAATTGTTTTTGTGACCATAGTTTCTGCAAGTCCACAAAGCTCCCAGGATAAAGAATGCTTCCAAGACCAGGCGCAGTGGCTCATGCCTGTAATTCCAGCACTTTGGAAGGCTGAGGTGGGTGGATCACTTGAGGTCAGGAGATCAAGACCATCCTGGCCAACATGGTGAAACCCTGTCTCTACTAAAAATACAAAAATCAGCTGGGCATGGTGGCACATACCTGTAGTCACAGCTACTTGGGAGGCTGAGGCA